GGGACTACAGGCACGCGCCACCATGCCCAGCTAATTTTTTGTATTTTTAATAGAGACGGGGTTTCACCATGTTGACCAGGATGGTCTCGATCTCTAGACCTCGTGATCCACCCGCCTCGGCCTCCCAAAGTGCAGGGATTACAGGCGTGAGCCACCACGCCCGGCCTCAAGTGTTTTTAATCTAAAGCAGTTACACTGATTTTTTTCTTACCACTTATTTCTTGAAAAACCAGGTCATTTATCTTATAGGATTTCTGTCATTCAGATTTTCCTGATTTTCCCAGTTGCATCATTTAACATCTTTCTGTATCCCCTAAGGACCCTTATGTTGGTCTATTGTTTATTCCCACTCTTTTTTCTTCTGGCATTTTATTTATTCATTCATCATCCAACAACTATTTATTGGATAGTTGTCATGCAGCAGACATGGATACTGAGGATACTTCTTTGGCCTTTTTACCTAGTGTACGTCTAGCTTGGTAGAAGTTAGGTTTTAAAAGCATATTTAATCTAGTATTTATGCAAAGTATTATTAAACCCCTGGTGGTACTTTTGAACTGAACTGCCACATACAGCTGTGTGAAACATATCTAGGGTTCTAGTTTAGGGGCAAATGAAGGATTTCTTTTCATCACTGCTCCCTATCTGCTATATACTGGATAAAGGGAATTCCTCAGCTCCAAGCAGTACTGAAAGATTCTATAGCCTGTAGTATAGATGATGGGAAACAAGGGACTATGGGTAGAATTGAGTACTGGGGCATGCTGGTGAGGTAACTCTTGGAATATTTGATGATTGCGGCCAACTTTCCAACCACCATCTCTCTTTTTCTTCTAAAGACTCCAGGAATCAGTTTGGTTAAATTCCTTTCTTCTGCAATTTAACGGGTCCCCACTGTGGGACCAAAACCATGTTTTATGGTTTCTTTGTTTCTTTTATGTTTCTGTAGTAAACGGTTCTTTTAAGATTTTGAAGAGTGATGTCCTTTGCAGTGGGGAAAAAAGATGAGAGTAAAAAAGGCACTGTTTCAATATTTCTCAAACTATATGTCAAGGTTCATTGATGAGTCATGAAATCAATTTAGTGAGGCATGAAATCAATATAGTTGATTGTGAAATTGATTTAGTGAGCAACAGCCAGTGTTGTTTTGTTGTTGCTTTATTTCTAATGGAATTGAATAGAAAATATTAGAGTGCATTGCATGGAGGAAGTGTCAGTATTATTTCATAGCTTTTGTTTCATATATAAGTATTATATATGAAAATGTTACCTATTATGGGTCATAGCCAGAAAACTTAAAAGCTCACACTTTATTGTACCTCCCTTTTTCAACTTCTTTGCCTTTTCTGTCCGTTTCTCAGTCACCATCCCTCATATCATTACTGTCATTAAAGTTGAAATAGAGAGGAAGTTGGTTAGAAAGGGAGGTCTCTGAGGTAACAAAGTTCTAACACATTATTTCCCCTCTTTGTACCTCCCTTGTGTTACTTGTCACTTTCTCTTTTTTTTTTTTTTTTTTT